TGTGGAATTTAAAATTGTTAATGAATGTATTTTGGTCTATATTATAGTAAAATAGACATTGAAAAAATTTTGGACATTTTTACAAATAACTATGTAAAATTGGAATTTTTTTGCAATTTCCTCATTTACTTGTATGATAGGACAAGTGCTTTTTGCTGTCAAGATTGAAAATCATTTCTTGAATGATCGAATCGAAAGGAATCATATCGTTTAATTCTTATTGTTAAGGGATAGAATCTCACATTGAATAAAAATGTAAACATAGGCCAACTTATAAATGATTGGGTTACTCCTCTTAATAAGGTTGACCTTTTAAGATGGAACCCCAAATTTTAATATGTTATCAAAGTTCATTATGTTTTAACGAGTAATTCGATCCGATTAAAACTCCAAAAGTGAGCATACGGATTTCAAGATTGGTCTGCTCAAACGAGCCACCATCTTGCAGGGGTATGTTAACGGATAAAATCTCATAACGAATAAAGATGTAAGCATAAACCAACTTATAAAGAATTTGATTACTCCTTTTAATAAAATTGACATTTTAAGATGAAACCTCAAATCTTAACACTTATTACCACTAATATTTTTTTATTAATTTTTCAGGCTATGCTAGACGTACCTTGTTTACGAAAAAGACACGATCATACTTGTAACGTTGTACGGGATAAACCCAAGAATTGCAGACAAAATGGAGTTGGCCGTGTCCCGGAACATCTTCTAAGGTGACTGTTTTGATGTAAAACTGGCTATGGTGATGGTTTCTGATAATAAAAGCACCAGGAACTCCTATAGACTCATCCCAATCGAAATTAACGTCAAATGTAACGTCATCCTCGGCCGTTAGTGATGTAAGCCTCGAGATCCATTTCTCCAAGAATGCTGGTTTTCCCAGTTTCCCTCTTGATCCATTTGCTATAAAATGAAGCCCAAAAATTTGTTAAGATTAAAGATTAATTGCCGGAGTCATATGCAATAGTTCATATGGACGTTCTTGATTTGTGTTCTTTAGTTATCCACATTTCTTGATTATTGTTCAGCAGGTTAATCAAGAAACTTGAAGAAAATTTACGAGAGGGGAAAGAAGAAGAGGAACCGGATTCACCATGAACAGCACTGATGAGCTGCAGTGAAACGCCTTTGCCAAAGAGCTCATGAACTCGATCAACAAACGAAGCCCATAAATCTGTCGAGTCCATAACATTTTTTTTCTTCAATACTACACAGCCTCTAATCTTGTTTCTACAATTGATACTCTTGGGCTCGTCTCGACTCTTTCCGCACAACGTTTCGAGTAGTTTCTCCATCATCTCTGTGCGCGAACGCTGGAAAAAATTCCCTATTGGAACAACAAAACTACGTAAGAATGTATGTTTAAGAAAGTAAAAACAGAAAAGAAACGGAATAAGATGCTACACTTCACCTGATTCTACGTGCAGTGTTTTCTAGATTCTTGACTTGGTTTACACTACTCATAAGCAGAACACAGTCTTTAAGATCAAGTCGATGCCTTTATATTGAGAAATGAATTGTGGGGCACATTGAAATTCCAAGTTGAGTGTTTTTATTGGAGGAAAAAAAGTGAAAATGGGGTTGCTGATAGGTTTTGCATCAAATTCTGTGTTGATTGAGATGTTTTCCTCGTGGATTAAAATAGATATGAGTTATGCTAGAAAAACAGGGAATATTGACAGGCTTTTTTTAATAGACACAGTTGGAAGGAATTCATTGGAAGATGGAAATTTTTAAAATAAAA